TCAAAGCCCGGAGTTGTTGACCTGTTTGTTTTCCCGCAGAAGGTGAATATTTTTTGCTTGCTCCCAAGTGTTTTTGGCTTTGATGGAGTATACCGTTTTCTCAGTCCTCCACATTTTGGCACTTTGCAAGCCGCACACGGTTTATGGGATGGATTCGGGAGCATACCTTTCGGTGGCTGAGATACTTTTCGGGGGGCAGGCTTTATCTGTAAGGGTGAACCACTTGTGGAAGGTAATGAAATCGAACGTGCTGTGGGTTGTGAGGGTACAACAACAAGAATTGGTATACCTGCTACCTTGGGGGCAATGTTGGGTAACTTAGGTTTTGGTTCGTCACCAGCATGAGATGTAGGCACCGTTGATGTGCAAGGTGCTGTACTTTGCCTTGTAGATGAAGAAGTCCCTGGTTCATAGACGAGTGAGTGCCTCTTCTCACCCCGGCGCTTGCCAGACTCATGAGGTACAACACTGTACTTGACCTGGGCATACCCTGGGTTTGGCAACATCTCCGGAAGCTCGACAGGTGCCGGGAGGGGATCAAAGGAAAGGACTTTCCGATGTCGGAGGACTTTGGGTTGGGTGGTAGCAAGGAAATTGGATCGGGTCTCTTGCTTTCCAATGAAATTTGTGATGGACTTGGAATTGATGTTTGGAAGGGGGAGATTTACTTTGGAGAGGACCGGGTCATCGAACAGCCTGTCACACATCCTTTTGTACCTCGTCCTGATGTTGGTGGCCGTCTTGGTTGGGGACGAGCACGACACAGAAGGCTGATTCTTGAGCAGCTGGATGACCAGGTACAAAAGCCTTGACTCCTCTGTGATTTGGGCTGCCTGTGCAAACTTCATCCACCCAAATTTGGTCTTTTGGGCGGCGCTTGATTGTGATGACTCTGGCCCGAGGCAACGTCCGAACAAAGTATAGCCCCACTTGCTCTCATACTTTTTTACAAAGTTGCGAGCAGATCGATCATGGGTTGCTAGCTCACCTGCAGCCTTGTAAATTTGCTCTCTTATCTCTGCTGGGATAAGATGCTGCTCCCCTTCTGTCAACTTGACCAGAAGCAAGGCGAGGGCTTCAACTTGCTCGAAACCAGGCAAGTGCAAATGGCGGTTGGTCGTCAGGACATCCTGCATAACAGGGCTAATCTCCTCTCTGACCTGCTCTTCCTTCGTCAGGACGGTGTGCTGAGCGCTGACGGCATCCATGTGTCTAGATGCTGAAATTACAGGAGCATCATTGGATGCATCGTCTTCGATGCCTTCGTCTTCATCCTTCTTGTCAACCTCTTCCTCGTCTTCAGCCTTATGCTCCTCTTCGGCTGTAGGAAAAACAGATCAAAGAAAGAAAAACAAACAATAAGGTATCAAGGTAAAACATAAGAATTCAAGCATGAATCTACCTCTGCTTCATTTCGGTCCTCCTCTTCAGCTGTATGGAGAACAGATATAGAACATGACATGAAATCACCATCAAATCAATTAAAACAAGACATTGGGGATATCAGGCTCAGAGTAAATACTGTTTTAAAACATGGGGCATTGAGGATGTGAAAGTATTTCTCACCCTTTTCCATGTAATATGCCTTTGATGAAAAGGACTTTGTAGACTGGGAGAAAGCGTACTCGACGCCGAGGAGCTCCTCCTCTTCAGCTTTGGTAGGTGGCTGCATGGGGGCGATGAAGTTCGGCTCAAAGAGATGATCCTTGCCAAACAGGATCTCAGCGTGGTCATTCATGCGCTGTATTTGGCGTGGGTCTGTGGTTGTTGTCATTTTGCCCTTCTGCTCCGCCACTTTAAGCCTTTCCATCCTGTTGTTCCACTGGACAGCAAAGGAAAGGAGGTAAACCTGCAAAATAAAGAAGAAAAAAAATATTACTTAAAATGTAGGTCACTTATAATGTTACTTATAATATAAATGTATTGCTGAGTATATACTGAAAATAAAGTATCATACAAACACAATCGTCAAAGTTTGATGTGATAAAGTTTTTTTTTATATAGCTCAGACACGTACTCAGCTTTAAATTATTGATACTGATTTAAGTGTTAAGTTTTAGGATGTAATTATGCTTAAATATTCACCTGAAAGGGCATGATACCGCAACGATGTGATGGGACGGCATGGAGCAGGTGAGAGTGGAGGCCCTCGAGCGCGTTGCTACCTCTCCGACATCTGAACTTGGTCAGCTGCACACCGTTCAGGGTAACCGTCTTCATGGCCACATAAAGGGGGATGTTGGGTGGATCCTGAGGAGGGAACAAAGAACAACGACATTAAATCATTTTACAAGTACAAGTAAAATACATCAATGGCAATGTTTGGCTATGATTCATGGTCCATCATAAAGTGTTGTATTACTTTGCATTAGTTAATATAATATTAAGTAGTATTGTCTCACCTGCATGCAACTGAGATGCTTACTAGCAGTCGCCCAGTGAGCATCTACTGCTTCAATCGATTTGAATAGAGGAATGCCATCGATGTCCAGACCTGCAGGTCCCTTTAACTCACTCAGAATGTGTTCGACTGCAGCAGCACTCTCCTGAAAGAACAAACAAAAACAGCAAAATAAGTAAATCAAGCTTTGAATTTAAAAATCTTGTCCCTGACTTATACCTGTAAAGTAAAACAAACAAATAATAAGAGGGGGTAGTCAATTGTAGTAAGTATTTAATCAGGAATCCTGACATCTCTATTTCGTTGGTTAAAAATTAAAAGCAATAATAATGGTTACAAATAAACAATTGATGAATTCATGATTTCTAATTCAAGTAGCTTGCAAATAACTCACCTGAACACCCCTGGTGACACGTCGGACATATGATGCAGCTTGGTATGGCTTCACGAAAGACAGCATGTCTGCATCAGATATAGAGGAGAACTTATCGTGGTCACCATGTCTGATTGCAGAGATCAATAGCTTCATGTCGTCACTGTTGTAGGCTAAGATGGCTCCTGCCAGGGCGCTAATGAAGATGCCGTACTTGGCGTGCGTCTGTTTGATGACCACGGCATCCCATCTGTGCAGCCAGTGGCGGATATCCAGTCTGACGACCATGCCATCGTCGGCCCACTCCTTAAAAAGGGTCTCGTACCACGAAGTACAGCCATCCCTGAAATGATCAAATAAATAAATGAATAAATAAGATTTTAAATGATGTGAACATCGATCATGAACAATCAAATGGATTATATGTGTTGTGTTCTGTCTGAGATTCTCATCACCATCTCACCGAGCATGAGTACCTAAGAAACAGAATAGAGTGGAAAAAACCGAAAGAGTACATTTAACTTTATTTTCTTAATCACATAATTTTATTTTGACATACCTGCAACAATTGTTGTCCGCATACAGGACTTCCACAGGAGGAGCATTGGCCCTTCGGAAGCGGGCGACCACACCCCTTGCCATCCTGGAGTATGCCTTCTCCGACTCAGACGCCACAACAACCGTCGTCACAAACTGGCCCCACTCGTTCAGTATGCTGGTGAGGTACTGCATGGTACCCTGACCGTCACCATGTATTTTTTTCAGAACCTGCACAGGAAACAAAAGGAGAAAAAATAGAAAATTAATTAATCCAATGATAAAGTTGTATTACAGTCATCATACTAGTATAACATTGCTTTTTAATTGCACTTTACATTATAATGGATGTTTGTAAATGAGTGACATTATATGAACTGTATGTATTTTGTAGACAGAAAATGAATTGTTGCATAATTAAAGTTGATCAGGACTTGACTTATTAATACCAATAATGAGATGAATACATACCTGCTTTGTGCCGTCGATTGAAAGTATCACCCCTGTCGTGCTGAGGATGGATTCCCGGTAGGCACACATCTTCTCCATCTCCATCAAAAGGTGCGCCCTGCGATGGGTCCTGGCAGATGGTATCGGAGAAGGCGGCATGGGAGGTGTATACTGGTGTGTGGTGTAGGGCAGGATTCCACGCTGTGATGATGAGCTTGACCCTGCAGTATGAGCCTCCATCAACAGCGTTTGATACAGGTCCCTTCGACCAGCATACCATTCATCATGGCCTTGCTGCACCATGCGATGGACCTTGGACATCGACACGGAGTTCAGGCGATCAGATAGTAGAGTGACGACGCTCCTGTCAACGGCTCGCTTCCCGACGAGGATGGCTGGGCACATCATGCGCACGGCTGGAGCTAGCTGCATGACGATGCTGGGGCTGGTGGCATGCCATCTGTACTGGAGCGACTTGTCCTCTTTACCTTGGCAGTGGTGGCACTTAAGTCGTTCCGTCAGCAGGGTGTAATCGCAGGTAAGCCCACACACCTGCCGAGCTACCGGGCCGTAGCCAGATCTCGTTAAGAAGCTGTCTGGTGGGGCAGGGCAGTTGGAGTTTGGGCACAGGATCTTGGTACCCATAACCCCCACAGGCCTCCAAAAAAAGACATGTGTGCTAAAGAACAGGGGCATGGAGGGCAGAGTTCCTTTTAGGGATGTAGGGAGAGGGGGTGGATGAAACTCCATCTTGTTCTTCAGGACAGTGCGCGTTCCCTTGCCCGAGACGTTCCTCTGTGGCTCCTCGAAGATGCCGTGAGGGCCATCGGACTTCAGCCATTTCAAGTTTGGCAGGTACATATTATCCCATGCCTTCTGCCAGCCCTCGATGACATCAGCAGCATCACGAAATGACTCAGTGGCAGAGGGCACCTCCGAAAGAAGCCTGTCAACGGATGTCACCGAGGTGTCGACCAGGACTTGTGCTTCCTGAAGAACATTCTCTGAAAATTAAAAAAAAAAATTATCATGGTAGGACAAATCTGAAAAATTAATCCATTTTCATCTCGAACAGTCACTTTCAGTTTTTAGACTTTGCAACAATTTTGGATTTGTTTAGTTTTATTCATAATGAGATTCATATATAGTCACTAGATTCATAATGTAGACATTTACTGCAATTTTGTTAAAATTTACATTTTCATAGTCTTGATAATGAACCATTGATCGACATTCAAGCCTTTACAAATGTGTAGACGTAAACGCACACCTACATAAACACACACACACACACGCTATGCTCATGTCAAACATACCTGCAAGGGCCAAGAGCTCTGCATCTTCGACGTAATCTGTTTGCAGCTGTTGCTTTTCTTTGCGTTTCTGTAAAGTTAATTGATAACAGGAGATTTAACATTCAGAAATCATGATACAGTGCATAATGTAATTGATGAATTATTCAAGTTTACAATAATTAAACATCTGATGAGCATTTTCCCTGAAATGAAAACAAAATGAAATGACATGACAAAATACTGATCATTGGAGAAGTGTACTGAAAGATATATAAATTATGAAATTCCTATTGTATAATTAGTGACTAACCTTTTCACGTTTGTGAATGTGCACCATGATGCTGGGGAATGCCTCCACAAGCTCCAGCAGGCGTTCCTTCTGCCACCTCAGGACCGGTATGCTTTCTCCGGCGGCCTTAAACTCGTCAAGGAGCCACACGACGTATCCAACGTCGTTCTCCAGCAGCCACTTGAAGTGCTGCCCTGCATATTTGCCAAAGCTCAGGACGATGTTGGCACACCACAGCTCCTTTCCCAATCTCTTGGCCTCCTTTTCTGCTGTCGACACATCCTGCCAGATTGGGTCGACTTCAGTCTTGTCCTCAGTGGAGCTTACAGCCTTGGCAGCACTGGTGCATTGGAGGAGAGCCTCACCACTCTTATAATGAGGGATCTTTGGATGCACGTGCACCTTGGTGTGGCGGTCCAGGTTTTGCTTCAGCGTGAACTCTTTGCCACAAGTAGAGCAATGGTGTGCCTTGTCTCCATGTATCCTCACATGCCTCGTCAGATTGGACTTTGTGGAGAACACTAGTCCACACTCTTCACACTTGTGTGTCGTCAAAGGTGACACTGCCGTCTCCATGGTGACCTGAATTTCAAATAAAATTACACAAAAATTAATATTTCTCTCATCTACACCTGATACTACATGTAGTGTCGTGTTTTTGCAGAGTAGAACAATGAGGGATGGGTGACTTAAACATGCTTATGATTGGTCTATGGTCAACTGTCTATTAGGGTTGCTATATGGAATAGTATTATGGGGAGTGGCAATGGAGAGTGCAGTGTCAGTGACTTGGGTCATAGTTCTTGTAATGTGGTTCCTTGAAGTTAACTCTCTGGGTTGGTCATTAATGGTCAATAAAATGAGGAGTTAATGGGGCCAGTGTATAGTCTAGTAATCTGTTTAGATCATGGAAGTGGGAGAAATTTAGGTGAAGGACTGTATGAAGATAAGAGTGGTACATTATTGTGCTTTACAAATTAATATATTATTATTATTCATACCACTAGACCAGATCTACATAGACTACATTACATTCAAGCCACACTTTACAAAGTAATGCTAGTTTGAGAGAGATGTAAAAGGTATGCCTTTACTTTATTGAGGTTCAAACAGGCTGCTCTCTACATATAGCATTGACATGATTGAGAGTGATAAACATGACAGGTGTAGGCTAGACACATTGTAAACATTGTCCAAGGCTATGACTTTTATTGCCCATTATATGACCATTAACGGTGTCAGCATGGACCTACTACCAAGCTGCCCGCCATCAACTTTTAGAGTTAGTCAAGTGTCTAGACACTAGACCCTACACAGTTAAAAATTGCAAATAAAATAAAATAATATAAAATAGGGCGCAGGATTACAGTCATACTCAGTCATACTCGTAGGCCTGTATAAAGACCAAGAAAATCATCAGCATTGTCATGATTTTATAGAGCCTTATCATATCACTCAGTAATAGCATACAACACGATTAAATGAAACAAATTCTCCTAAAACACCTGAAATACGGACAAAAATGAAAGTTACACTCGCTATAAATAATCTATGCCTACACCCGCACGAAGAGCAAGCGGAAACTCAGTCAGGTCTAACGCTGAACCGTGGGCGTACATATCACTTTCGTTCCGCTCAATACTCGCAATCTCAAACACTTGCAAGGGAGTTCAGAAACATAAGCAAATTAACTTCATTCACGATCTACTCACCAATTTCACGTTCAGAATATGTGCAGTGGTATAACACAACACGGATCAATCAGACAAAATCCCTCAAAAGAGCTGAAATACTATACAAATGAAAGTTTTGAAACTCCTTTTGTGTTTTGAAGAATATCGCACCAGCACAAAACTTTTATGAATGGGACAGGTGACGTCATGCATATTAAATGAGCCTTCCTTAACAGAGCTCGCTGATTCGTCTGTTGAGCAGCTGTGATTCCGGTGATCAGCTCGTTGCTGCTTAACGTAGCGATTTGATTAGTCTGTTGAGCAGAGCCTTTCCTTAACATAGCGATTTGATTGGTTCGTTGAGGAAGCCGTCGGACCTTCGGTGGGCAAAACCCAGGGAATGGCGAACGACCCCTGGGAGGACCTTTGCTCGACTTGATCACTAGTGATCGCGGGACGTCGAAAAGCGCCCTCAAGGACCTTTTCGTGGTCAACGTCCCCTTCGATTACCGCGGCGAAGCCTGCCAATTGCGGCCAAAAGTTGCTTGCACAGTCTTAATTTGACCAACTGAGACAAAAACCAGGTTCCTCTCTCGCTTTATAAAGAAACAATGCACCCATTTACATAATTTAATTAATAAATTTGCTCTTTTGATGCATCCTTTTACTGATTCTTTTTCAAATCAAATTTAGCCAAACTTACTTAAGTTCTAATTTTATTCCCGTGGTGTTGTTGCTTTCCTTTATTATTATTTAAATATATATTTTGTAAATGAAAACAATTTCCCCTTTTTTTCTCATTCTTTATCTGTCTTTTTACATTTCTCTCAATGTTTCCTTTTCTTTCTTTCTCTCTATCTTTCCTTTCCTTCCCCTCTCTCTCTCTCTCTCTCTCTTGTTCTTTTTCTTTCCTTTTCTTTCTTTCTCTCTCTCTTTCTAACTTTTCAGCTATCTGTTTATACATACTCTTTCCTCTCCGTTTTGCTTCTTCTCTCCATCTTTCTTTTATTTTCTTTATCTCCTTTTCTTCCTTTCTCTCTTTCTATATTTCATTTCTCTCTATCTCTCTTTCTATATCTCAATTTAATCTCTCTATCAATCGCATACATTGGAAACAAATATAATACAAAAATACAAGGTAAATATTAGGTTGTGTGTTCTTTATATTGGACACATCAATCATGGCAAATCATTGATCTGATCAGAAACACACAAGTGTTTAGTTTACGGACATTTGAAAGTGACGCTTAAAAAAATGATGTTTCATGAATACAGAGTCACATAATTGAGCTAAAAAGATAATTATACCAATGGTACAGGAATAAGAATGCAAGCTCAGTAAAGTCAAAGAGATATACTTCTAAAAAGAGCCATGGCAAGAATACAGTATCATATCAAGGCACTTTATTATAAATCAGTGCTTAAAATGAACTATAGCATGAATACAGTCATATCATGGCATTTTATAACAAGTCATTAATACAAAGAGCCATGGCAAGAATAAAGAGTTGTATCAATACTGTACTGATGCTTACGCTGTGTCACTCCTATATCATGTTAAAAATGAGTAACATTATCCTATTGTCTATTTTCTATACAGAATGAGTATCATGTTCTATACTTTGAAACGTAAATTATATCACACTGATGAACATCATGTATGTCTAAAATATGATATAGATCAATAGTCCATCAACAAATGAATGATTTGACAAATTAATTAAAAAGCAGTCCAATACTACATCCCTAAAAAGTGACATTTTTATATTTAGAATTATGTCTATAAAAATGAAGTTCAAACAATGGACCTGAAATACAAGGTGGCATAATGATATTAGTAATCATGTCAATCAAAGTTCAAGGACTACATCCCTGAAATACAAGGTATTATAATCATGTCATAATTCAGCATGATCTAGTAACGTCATCACGTATGATAACAATTCTAAAAAGAAGCATGGGACCTTCTACCTGAAAACCAACATGTAAAAAACTCATTTTTCAAATGCACCCCTCCTTCTCTCCAACTCTTCATCAACAGCCCTTTTAAAAGCCTCGTAACTTTCATACTCATTGTCAAAGCCCGGAGTTGTTGACCTGTTTGTTTTCCCGCAGAAGGTGAATATTTTTTGCTTGCTCCCAAGTGTTTTTGGCTTTGATGGAGTATACCGTTTTCTCAGTCCTCCACATTTTGGCACTTTGCAAGCCGCACACGGTTTATGGGATGGATTCGGGAGCATACCTTTCGGTGGCTGAGATACTTTTCGGGGGGCAGGCTTTATCTGTAAGGGTGAACCACTTGTGGAAGGTAATGAAATCGAACGTGCTGTGGGTTGTGAGGGTACAACAACAAGAATTGGTATACCTGCTACCTTGGGGGCAATGTTGGGTAACTTAGGTTTTGGTTCGTCACCAGCATGAGATGTAGGCACCGTTGATGTGCAAGGTGCTGTACTTTGCCTTGTAGATGAAGAAGTCCCTGGTTCATAGACGAGTGAGTGCCTCTTCTCACCCCGGCGCTTGCCAGACTCATGAGGTACAACACTGTACTTGACCTGGGCATACCCTGGGTTTGGCAACATCTCCGGAAGCTCGACAGGTGCCGGGAGGGGATCAAAGGAAAGGACTTTCCGATGTCGGAGGACTTTGGGTTGGGTGGTAGCAAGGAAATTGGATCGGGTCTCTTGCTTTCCAATGAAATTTGTGATGGACTTGGAATTGATGTTTGGAAGGGGGAGATTTACTTTGGAGAGGACCGGGTCATCGAACAGCCTGTCACACATCCTTTTGTACCTCGTCCTGATGTTGGTGGCCGTCTTGGTTGGGGACGAGCACGACACAGAAGGCTGATTCTTGAGCAGCTGGATGACCAGGTACAAAAGCCTTGACTCCTCTGTGATTTGGGCTGCCTGTGCAAACTTCATCCACCCAAATTTGGTCTTTTGGGCGGCGCTTGATTGTGATGACTCTGGCCCGAGGCAACGTCCGAACAAAGTATAGCCCCACTTGCTCTCATACTTTTTTACAAAGTTGCGAGCAGATCGATCATGGGTTGCTAGCTCACCTGCAGCCTTGTAAATTTGCTCTCTTATCTCTGCTGGGATAAGATGCTGCTCCCCTTCTGTCAACTTGACCAGAAGCAAGGCGAGGGCTTCAACTTGCTCGAAACCAGGCAAGTGCAAATGGCGGTTGGTCGTCAGGACATCCTGCATAACAGGGCTAATCTCCTCTCTGACCTGCTCTTCCTTCGTCAGGACGGTGTGCTGAGCGCTGACGGCATCCATGTGTCTAGATGCTGAAATTACAGGAGCATCATTGGATGCATCGTCTTCGATGCCTTCGTCTTCATCCTTCTTGTCAACCTCTTCCTCGTCTTCAGCCTTATGCTCCTCTTCGGCTGTAGGAAAAACAGATCAAAGAAAGAAAAACAAACAATAAGGTATCAAGGTAAAACATAAGAATTCAAGCATGAATCTACCTCTGCTTCATTTCGGTCCTCCTCTTCAGCTGTATGGAGAACAGATATAGAACATGACATGAAATCACCATCAAATCAATTAAAACAAGACATTGGGGATATCAGGCTCAGAGTAAATACTGTTTTAAAACATGGGGCATTGAGGATGTGAAAGTATTTCTCACCCTTTTCCATGTAATATGCCTTTGATGAAAAGGACTTTGTAGACTGGGAGAAAGCGTACTCGACGCCGAGGAGCTCCTCCTCTTCAGCTTTGGTAGGTGGCTGCATGGGGGCGATGAAGTTCGGCTCAAAGAGATGATCCTTGCCAAACAGGATCTCAGCGTGGTCATTCATGCGCTGTATTTGGCGTGGGTCTGTGGTTGTTGTCATTTTGCCCTTCTGCTCCGCCACTTTAAGCCTTTCCATCCTGTTGTTCCACTGGACAGCAAAGGAAAGGAGGTAAACCTGCAAAATAAAGAAGAAAAAAAATATTACTTAAAATGTAGGTCACTTATAATGTTACTTATAATATAAATGTATTGCTGAGTATATACTGAAAATAAAGTATCATACAAACACAATCGTCAAAGTTTGATGTGATAAAGTTTTTTTTTATATAGCTCAGACACGTACTCAGCTTTAAATTATTGATACTGATTTAAGTGTTAAGTTTTAGGATGTAATTATGCTTAAATATTCACCTGAAAGGGCATGATACCGCAACGATGTGATGGGACGGCATGGAGCAGGTGAGAGTGGAGGCCCTCGAGCGCGTTGCTACCTCTCCGACATCTGAACTTGGTCAGCTGCACACCGTTCAGGGTAACCGTCTTCATGGCCACATAAAGGGGGATGTTGGGTGGATCCTGAGGAGGGAACAAAGAACAACGACATTAAATCATTTTACAAGTACAAGTAAAATACATCAATGGCAATGTTTGGCTATGATTCATGGTCCATCATAAAGTGTTGTATTACTTTGCATTAGTTAATATAATATTAAGTAGTATTGTCTCACCTGCATGCAACTGAGATGCTTACTAGCAGTCGCCCAGTGAGCATCTACTGCTTCAATCGATTTGAATAGAGGAATGCCATCGATGTCCAGACCTGCAGGTCCCTTTAACTCACTCAGAATGTGTTCGACTGCAGCAGCACTCTCCTGAAAGAACAAACAAAAACAGCAAAATAAGTAAATCAAGCTTTGAATTTAAAAATCTTGTCCCTGACTTATACCTGTAAAGTAAAACAAACAAATAATAAGAGGGGGTAGTCAATTGTAGTAAGTATTTAATCAGGAATCCTGACATCTCTATTTCGTTGGTTAAAAATTAAAAGCAATAATAATGGTTACAAATAAACAATTGATGAATTCATGATTTCTAATTCAAGTAGCTTGCAAATAACTCACCTGAACACCCCTGGTGACACGTCGGACATATGATGCAGCTTGGTATGGCTTCACGAAAGACAGCATGTCTGCATCAGATATAGAGGAGAACTTATCGTGGTCACCATGTCTGATTGCAGAGATCAATAGCTTCATGTCGTCACTGTTGTAGGCTAAGATGGCTCCTGCCAGGGCGCTAATGAAGATGCCGTACTTGGCGTGCGTCTGTTTGATGACCACGGCATCCCATCTGTGCAGCCAGTGGCGGATATCCAGTCTGACGACCATGCCATCGTCGGCCCACTCCTTAAAAAGGGTCTCGTACCACGAAGTACAGCCATCCCTGAAATGATCAAATAAATAAATGAATAAATAAGATTTTAAATGATGTGAACATCGATCATGAACAATCAAATGGATTATATGTGTTGTGTTCTGTCTGAGATTCTCATCACCATCTCACCGAGCATGAGTACCTAAGAAACAGAATAGAGTGGAAAAAACCGAAAGAGTACATTTAACTTTATTTTCTTAATCACATAATTTTATTTTGACATACCTGCAACAATTGTTGTCCGCATACAGGACTTCCACAGGAGGAGCATTGGCCCTTCGGAAGCGGGCGACCACACCCCTTGCCATCCTGGAGTATGCCTTCTCCGACTCAGACGCCACAACAACCGTCGTCACAAACTGGCCCCACTCGTTCAGTATGCTGGTGAGGTACTGCATGGTACCCTGACCGTCACCATGTATTTTTTTCAGAACCTGCACAGGAAACAAAAGGAGAAAAAATAGAAAATTAATTAATCCAATGATAAAGTTGTATTACAGTCATCATACTAGTATAACATTGCTTTTTAATTGCACTTTACATTATAATGGATGTTTGTAAATGAGTGACATTATATGAACTGTATGTATTTTGTAGACAGAAAATGAATTGTTGCATAATTAAAGTTGATCAGGACTTGACTTATTAATACCAATAATGAGATGAATACATACCTGCTTTGTGCCGTCGATTGAAAGTATCACCCCTGTCGTGCTGAGGATGGATTCCCGGTAGGCACACATCTTCTCCATCTCCATCAAAAGGTGCGCCCTGCGATGGGTCCTGGCAGATGGTATCGGAGAAGGCGGCATGGGAGGTGTATACTGGTGTGTGGTGTAGGGCAGGATTCCACGCTGTGATGATGAGCTTGACCCTGCAGTATGAGCCTCCATCAACAGCGTTTGATACAGGTCCCTTCGACCAGCATACCATTCATCATGGCCTTGCTGCACCATGCGATGGACCTTGGACATCGACACGGAGTTCAGGCGATCAGATAGTAGAGTGACGACGCTCCTGTCAACGGCTCGCTTCCCGACGAGGATGGCTGGGCACATCATGCGCACGGCTGGAGCTAGCTGCATGACGATGCTGGGGCTGGTGGCATGCCATCTGTACTGGAGCGACTTGTCCTCTTTACCTTGGCAGTGGTGGCACTTAAGTCGTTCCGTCAGCAGGGTGTAATCGCAGGTAAGCCCACACACCTGCCGAGCTACCGGGCCGTAGCCAGATCTCGTTAAGAAGCTGTCTGGTGGGGCAGGGCAGTTGGAGTTTGGGCACAGGATCTTGGTACCCATAACCCCCACAGGCCTCCAAAAAAAGACATGTGTGCTAAAGAACAGGGGCATGGAGGGCAGAGTTCCTTTTAGGGATGTAGGGAGAGGGGGTGGATGAAACTCCATCTTGTTCTTCAGGACAGTGCGCGTTCCCTTGCCCGAGACGTTCCTCTGTGGCTCCTCGAAGATGCCGTGAGGGCCATCGGACTTCAGCCATTTCAAGTTTGGCAGGTACATATTATCCCATGCCTTCTGCCAGCCCTCGATGACATCAGCAGCATCACGAAATGACTCAGTGGCAGAGGGCACCTCCGAAAGAAGCCTGTCAACGGATGTCACCGAGGTGTCGACCAGGACTTGTGCTTCCTGAAGAACATTCTCTGAAAATTAAAAAAAAAAATTATCATGGTAGGACAAATCTGAAAAATTAATCCATTTTCATCTCGAACAGTCACTTTCAGTTTTTAGACTTTGCAACAATTTTGGATTTGTTTAGTTTTATTCATAATGAGATTCATATATAGTCACTAGATTCATAATGTAGACATTTACTGCAATTTTGTTAAAATTTACATTTTCATAGTCTTGATAATGAACCATTGATCGACATTCAAGCCTTTACAAATGTGTAGACGTAAACGCACACCTACATAAACACACACACACACACGCTATGCTCATGTCAAACATACCTGCAAGGGCCAAGAGCTCTGCATCTTCGACGTAATCTGTTTGCAGCTGTTGCTTTTCTTTGCGTTTCTGTAAAGTTAATTGATAACAGGAGATTTAACATTCAGAAATCATGATACAGTGCATAATGTAATTGATGAATTATTCAAGTTTACAATAATTAAACATCTGATGAGCATTTTCCCTGAAATGAAAACAAAATGAAATGACATGACAAAATACTGATCATTGGAGAAGTGTACTGAAAGATATATAAATTATGAAATTCCTATTGTATAATTAGTGACTAACCTTTTCACGTTTGTGAATGTGCACCATGATGCTGGGGAATGCCTCCACAAGCTCCAGCAGGCGTTCCTTCTGCCACCTCAGGACCGGTATGCTTTCTCCGGCGGCCTTAAACTCGTCAAGGAGCCACACGACGTATCCAACGTCGTTCTCCAGCAGCCACTTGAAGTGCTGCCCTGCATATTTGCCAAAGCTCAGGACGATGTTGGCACACCACAGCTCCTTTCCCAATCTCTTGGCCTCCTTTTCTGCTGTCGACACATCCTGCCAGATTGGGTCGACTTCAGTCTTGTCCTCAGTGGAGCTTACAGCCTTGGCAGCACTGGTGCATTGGAGGAGAGCCTCACCACTCTTATAATGAGGGATCTTTGGATGCACGTGCACCTTGGTGTGGCGGTCCAGGTTTTGCTTCAGCGTGAACTCTTTGCCACAAGTAGAGCAATGGTGTGCCTTGTCTCCATGTATCCTCACATGCCTCGTCAGATTGGACTTTGTGGAGAACACTAGTCCACACTCTTCACACTTGTGTGTCGTCAAAGGTGACACTGCCGTCTCCATGGTGACCTGAATTTCAAATAAAATTACACAAAAATTAATATTTCTCTCATCTACACCTGATACTACATGTAGTGTCGTGTTTTTGCAGAGTAGAACAATGAGGGATGGGTGACTTAAACATGCTTATGATTGGTCTATGGTCAACTGTCTATTAGGGTTGCTATATGGAATAGTATTATGGGGAGTGGCAATGGAGAGTGCAGTGTCAGTGACTTGGGTCATAGTTCTTGTAATGTGGTTCCTTGAAGTTAACTCTCTGGGTTGGTCATTAATGGTCAATAAAATGAGGAGTTAATGGGGCCAGTGTATAGTCTAGTAATCTGTTTAGATCATGGAAGTGGGAGAAATTTAGGTGAAGGACTGTATGAAGATAAGAGTGGTACATTATTGTGCTTTACAAATTAATATATTATTATTATTCATACCACTAGACCAGATCTACATAGACTACATTACATTCAAGCCACACTTTACAAAGTAATGCTAGTTTGAGAGAGATGTAAAAGGTATGCCTTTACTTTATTGAGGTTCAAACAGGCTGCTCTCTACATATAGCATTGACATGATTGAGAGTGATAAACATGACAGGTGTAGGCTAGACACATTGTAAACATTGTCCAAGGCTATGACTTTTATTGCCCATTATATGACCATTAACGGTGTCAGCATGGACCTACTACCAAGCTGCCCGCCATCAACTTTTAGAGTTAGTCAAGTGTCTAGACACTAGACCCTACACAGTTAAAAATTGCAAATAAAATAAATAATATAAAATAGGGCGCAGGATTACAGTCATACTCAGTCATACTCGTAGGCCTGTATAAAGACCAAGAAAATCATCAGCATTGTCATGATTTTATAGAGCCTTATCATATCACTCAGTAATAGCATACAACACGATTAAATGAAACAAATTCTCCTAAAACACCTGAAATACGGACAAAAATGAAAGTTACACTCGCTATAAATAATCTATGCCTACACCCGCACGAAGAGCAAGCGGAAACTCAGTCAGGTCTAACGCTGAACCGTGGGCGTACATATCACTTTCGTTCCGCTCAATACTCGCAATCTCAAACACTTGCAAGGGAGTTCAGAAACATAAGCAAATTAACTTCATTCACGATCTACTCACCAATTTCACGTTCAGAATATGTGCAGTGGTATAACACAACACGGATCAATCAGACAAAATCCCTCAAAAGAGCTGAAATACTATACAAATGAAAGTTTTGAAACTCCTTTTGTGTTTTGAAGAATATCGCACCAGCACAAAACTTTTATGAATGGGACAGGTGACGTCATGCATATTAAATGAGCCTTCCTTAACAGAGCTCGCTGATTCGTCTGTTGAGCAGCTGTGATTCCGGTGATCAGCTCGTTGCTGCTTAACGTAGCGATTTGATTAGTCTGTTGAGCAGAGCCTTTCCTTAACATAGCGATTTGATTGGTTCGTTGAGGAAGCCGTCGGACCTTCGGTGGGCAAAACCCAGGGAATGGCTAATGACCCCTGGGAGGTCTTCGGCGCGATCACTAGTGATCGCGGGACATCGAAAAGCGCCCCCAAGGACCTTTTCGTGGTGAACGTCCCCTTCGATTACCGCAGCGAAGCCTGCCAATTGCGGCCAAAAGTTGCTTGTACTATGGTTACTTGACCAACTGAGACAAATACCAGGTTCTTCTCTCGCTTTAAAGAAACAATTCACCCATTTACATAATTTGATTAATTAATTAATTAATAAATTTGCTCTTTTTATGCATCCTTTTCCTGATACTTTTCAAATCAAAATTAGCCAACCTTAATTAAGTTCTAATTTCAGTCCGGTGTTGTTGTTGCTTTCCTTTATTATTTTTTAATATATGTTTTGTAAATGAAAACCATTTCCCCTTTTTTTCTCAATCTATATCTGTCTTTTTACAGTTCTCTTTATCTTTCCTTTCTTTCTTTCTCTCTCTCTTTCTTTTTCTTCCTTTCTCTCTCTCTCTCTCTTGTTATTTTTCTTTCTTTCTCTCTCTCTTTCTCTTTCTTCCTTTCTCTCTCTCTCTCTTGTTATTTTTCTTTCTTTCTCTCTCTCTTTCTAACGCTTCAGCTATCTGTTTATACATACTCTTTCCTCTCCTTTTTCTTTCATTTTCTCTATCTCCTT